ACTCAAGTTTCCAGCATGTCGAATGCCTCCATAACGTCTTTACACTCGTCTATGCTCTCCTCGGTCAAATTCACCTGAGCCGCCATCTCGACTGAACAACAGACCTTGTTAGACCTGTTGGTCCCTACACGGTCGGCTGACGTTATACAATCACGTGGACATTCCGGCAGAATGTTTTCACACAAACGGTAAACTTGGTTTGTAGACATGAATAGTTTTGTTCATCAGACATTTGGGGTTTCAGCATCGAAACTGCAATTATTCTGTAATTCAAAAAGAAAATATGTTGATGTTTTATAGACAGGTCAGTGGGTTACAGTTCGTCTAGACAGTGACTGCGCGGGATAACAGAATACACTCTGTTAGGTATATTTATGTTTGCTGGTCCGTCTGATATTTTTCAGGCAAAAATGTTCTAATTCCACAAAGTCTTTAAAGTCATAAATGTGATCATCAAAATAAGAAGGGACTGCAATCACATGTTTTTAACAGTGCTCTTGGCGTGTCCCAACACTAAATGATTGTTCAAAGGAGTCGACCTAACATTACATTATTCAAGGTGAAAGGAGAGGGTTAGCCTGGGGCGTTCCATTGAGTGATTCCATTCGAAAGTATCAGGGTGCATGGGTGTTGTGAAAACAGCGGTTCGGCCGCATGCATACTTGAACGACAGGACCCTGGGGCTGTGACGTGCTATGTACTACAGTTAACCAACTTGGATGGGGTACTCTGCAATGTGACAAACATTCCGAAAAGGCTAAAAAGCTTAAACTGAAAGGTTTTTACCCGAATGACTGCTGTAAAGAAATGCAATGTAAATTTCAGAAAGGTATAAATGTACTAACGTCATATATACACTGACAACTGACAGAAATTTTACGCAGCAACCGCCCTAATAGCGCCTCAGAGACAGGGGATTCCCAATTTTTGGGCGTGTCATAAGGTCTTTATTGTCTTCTGTCTCTCTTTCATAACCGTCAGTGGCATCGCATCATGGCAACAACATGGCAACAGAGTGAAGAGAAGGCAGAGTTGACCGGAGATGTGGTAGCCAGTGTTCGGAATCTGCGTGAGGCTATAAAGGTTGCGAACAAGTACGGCATCTCTCTGGGAGGAGCGAAGACCCTGGAGCAAGTAAAAGAGAGACTGCAGCAGCACGTGTCGGACAAAACGACGACAAAGGAAGACTTTGAGGTCAGTAGGATATATAGTTCTGATATACTTGTTAGAAGTAAAGCGATGCATGTGGACATGAAATGCAATAATGTACTTGTAAGCTCGTATGGCACGGCGCAACACATGAAGTATTCTATTGACTATTCTATTTAGATCCTTGCTGTTGTAGCTGACTTAAAAGATGACGACAGCAGAAAGCGACAGTTGTTACAGGTGCACATTAAGGAGATGAGAGAGTTCATGAGGGATTGTGACAAAAGCATCGAGGCGCACCTCAGGATAGAGCAGACGGTAACAGACGCCGAGACGGACTTTGCTTCCCGCCTCGAGCAGTTGGAGTCGGACTGTCCTATCCTTGTGGCAGGTGATTCTTACTCACAACGTAGATGAAAAATGTGGATTGTGTGCTTTTGGAGCTATTTTTGGGAAACCGTACAACTACAACTACCAGTCGCATTTCAATACCCACTGTGTCTATTACCTTGATCTCATTTTGATAAAAATTTTCTATCAAAATGAGATCAAGGATAACAGAACCAGACAGCCTTGCACCTGTCTGGTCGATACAGTGTGTTGAGATCTGTACATTTGTTCCAGGCGAAACATCCTCAGGCAAGAGCAGTTTGATCAACCTTCTTTTGGGAGAGGATCTACTTCCATCAGCCCATCTAAGCAGCACGTCTGTCATCTGTAAGATCAGGTACGGAGAAAAGAAAAGAGCCGTCATCAACTACGCTGACGGTCGGCAAGAAACCCTCTCCGTCCCCGAAGGAGGGGACGCAGGGACGTTCACGTCTCTTCTCCACACCCATCTGCACAAGAAGTCAGACAGAGAGAAGCGGTCTCAATACCGAGACGTGGAGATTTTCTTCCCACTGAAATTTCTCAAGGTACATGTCACAGTGTAACACACCAATCAACGTGTGTAATGTACATTCTTCAAGGTTGTACCTTCCTCACTCGTTTTGCGTTAACGTTAACAATGTCAATGTGGGGGTTGAACATTGGCTCCATGCACGATATGATTGCGTTATGAAACCTCTAACGCGCAGTTTATGTTATCATCTGATCGTAGCTACATAATATGCATCGTACTTCAGGTACTAACACCATGTCTTTGCTTCTTTTGAGCAGAGCGGCATCTTCATCGTAGACGGCCCGGGGATTGGAGAGAACCAGACCATGGATGGCGTGCTGTTGGACTACCTTCCCAATGCATTCGCCTTCATCTACGTCATCAAGAGTGACAACGCCGGTGGCGTGCAGAAAGATAGGGTCAGGAGCTCACCATTATGTATATCTAGTCATTACACTGAGTTCCATTCCATACAACTTGTGGAGCTAAAATACTAGTCATAAATGACACGAAGCTATTGACAAAATAAATTCAATATTATATGTTGTCATTCACAGCTTCAGCAGTTATTGAAAACTGTTGCAAAAAGAACCAAACTGCAGTCAGTGAACCCAGCCGCCGCCATGTTCGTCTGTAACAGGTGGGACTTGGTCGACGAAGGCGAACGCGAGAAGGTGAGACGTGACACGGTCCAAAAGCTGAAGACGTGCTGGCCGGGATTCAGGGAGACACAGCTCTTCTGCATGGACAGCAAGTCCGAACTGGAGAACTCCAAGCACGGCCACAAGTCGCGAGATTTCGAAAACCTCCTATATGGTATCCGAAACCTCATCCCATGCAGCCTTCAGGCAAAGATCCGTGCCTCCTCCAGGTAATGTTCTATAAATGTTATCAATCTTTAGTAGCAAATGCCGCTTACTTGTCGTTTCCAATTATCCCTGTTGCATATATGGGAAACTTTTTAGAGATTGGCTTTTCTGGATACTAGTAGATGATCAAAAACGTCTATTCTCCTCAATGTAAGAATACCATCAATGATCTATTGTTTCCGTTCACAGGTGGCTTGAGTACGTTGTCGGCCGTGTTCTCCATCACGTGAAGACATACCTGTACAAGTCAAAGATGACGAGCCTCAAGCTGAAGGAAGTTTTCCAGAAGACAAGACAGGATTTGGAAGAGATAAAAGATGAAGCAGATAAAACCATATCCTCGCTGCAAAAAGAGGTGGAACAAAGTATCACAAGAGAAGCAGATCGCCTGAAGACCTACCTGGCATCACCGGACGCAGAGGAAGCCATGAAAGGTTGGAGGAAAACTGTCATCCCAGACGTGACGGAAGGGGTCGAGTGGGATGTTGTGATGTATGAAATGGAGACGTGCATCAACAACCGAATGGAAAAGGTTGTAGAGGAATGGGGGGAGGAGAAAGGCTACATAGGGTCGGAAATGGACCGCCTGATGCAAGAACTGATGACCAAAGTCTTCCCCCATCAACTTCGGCTCAAACAAATTGAAGAGGAGATCGAGGTCATCGGAAAAAGTGGTAGCAACCAGTCTGAGATAGTAAGACGCATTTCTATGGCGAGGTATTTCCGAACATTCAACCAGGGTGAGGCAGAAAGCACTTCGAGGAAAACAAGGGACCGAAAAGACAGCACCAACATCGACCTGACGTCATCCTTCTTGGCCCTTGGCATTGTGGGGGCTGTCGCAGCGGGGCCGGTTCTTGCTTTCTACGGTGTGCAGTCTCTCCGTAAGAAGTACAAAGACAAGAAAGAAAAGGACAAGTATGTAGAAGATGGACCAAAGTACGTCGAAAAAAAGGCAGTTGAAGCTCTAAAGGCGTTTTCCCAGAACGACGAGGGAATCCGTAAGTACGTAGAGGAAAGCTACAAGCCCATCCGAGATCGGATGGAGAGCTTCCAAACGAGCCTCCAGAAGCAAATGAAGGCACAATTGGAGCTCATGACGAAGATCGAAGACGACCGCCGAAGCAAGCTGCAGCTTGACTCCGACTACACTCCTATGTTAAAGACGATGGAAGAAATGCAAGCTAAACTGGAACTCTTTAACCTACAAGAGCTCCCCCTTGTACACCCCGACGCTGTCTGTTGCCAGAGTACAGACGAAACCGTTGTAAGCAATACCGTCTTTGCGGTATCTGTCAAGGGATTCATGGAAGGAAAGGAAGTAATCATCAAGAAATACCACGGCGCCATTGACGTTGAAAGTGCACGAGACATCGGAAGGATGAGGTTAGCATAGATTACAAGAACTTGTCAATTTGTTATACTGGTCGTTGTTCTGTACTCTTAATAATGCAAGATGAGACCATCTTTAGAGGATTTAAACGGCTTTAAAGCGAGGTTGTCTCATCTTGCTTTGCTATCTGAAATGACCGCCTTTATAGGTCTCAGTTTCAAAGGTGTCTTACCTATAGCCCTCTTTATGCATCTTTTCCTACAGAAACATTCGGCATCCCAACATTCTGGCTTTCAAGGGAGTCGACTTTTCATCCTGTGCACCCAGGCTGGTCCTAGAGACAGCTGACAAAACTCTGCGGCAAGTAGTCCCTGCCGGTGCTGTTCACTGCGGAAAGGGGGGGTTCGTCTTCCGACAGACCATCCTATATGCCATAAAAGGAATCTGCAACGCCCTCTCCTATCTGCACGAGAACAACCTTGTCAGCTTTGAGTTGTCACAGGACACTGTCCAGGTAATTATCACGATTAATTGCAGTCTATTTGTCCTAAATATCTTTTAAAGAAACTTTAGTCATTATATAAGGATTAGGGAAGATATTTTTCTTCATCAAGAAAGTGAATATAAGTTTGTTTTTAGGTTGTTGGAGACACGGAGTTCAAGCTTCTTCACGTCGGCGTACCCAGGAAGGTTAAACTTCCCCCGGATGTCGACACGAAGGGCAGTGCATTCGTCTACCTCCCACCTGAGACACTCCAAGGAGATCACGTGTACGACAGTCGCTCTGACATGTACAGCCTCGGGCTGGTGATGTGGGAACTATGGTACCACCAAAAGGTGAGGTAACAGACCTTGTAGAATTTCTTTTCTGTCGGATAACTTTCTAGGCACCTCTGTGTATGAATTATTTCAGGTGGATTAACAAGAGTTTCTCCCATCCCACTATGTACAGGCATTTGAGGATATGACACACCTTCCTTTGGAGACATTCCTCAGGGATCAGTACAACAGGCGCCCGAACACGTCCGACCCCGGCCCGAGTAACGGCATGTCTGGGGAGGTGGGGAAGAAGTGGAGGGGCATGATTGACAGGTGCCTGGTGATGGCAAGAGAAAAACGAGACGTTCTCCCGTCTGACATCATCAACGATCTAGACAGTTTCTAGTGAGGGGAAAAGTCATAGTTTTAAGCTAGGTGAGCTAGGTACATGGGTTTTGAAAAATTATGGGTTGGGCACTAATAATCAAGCATGGAAATGCAGAAACAAATGTGAAACAATACCTTGTAGTTACATAATTCAAGTTGTCAGTTTACTCAACTATGTATTTTGAAGAGACCGAAATAAGCATAGAAAAGGCTTTTAAACCACTTGACTTATTTGTTACATCTGACAGGTTTGACAGAAAAATGACCATTTTCTTTTAGCTTTGAAGTAATTACAGTTGGATATGTTCAAATGATAGATAAATACAAAGACAAGTCACCATTAACGTACAGATTGTCAGTGTAGTTGTCTGATATGATACACAAGATATAGCTTCTGGGGGACCTCCAGCTTTAACATGAAAGAACATTGGAGATCATGTGTGTAAATATTTTATCATTTTATATGCCTGACTTATGGGGTTTCCCCCTGAAATCACACATATGGAATACTGGTAACTTGTCTAGAAATATGTGGTGCATCAAGCCATCATACTTGTATTTACCTGATCCATGTACTAACTACACCAATTACAAATAAGGGCATCTCATCACTCAAACCTGCTAAATGATAAATGAGTTTTCTTCATATGCATGCAAAATCAACATCATTAAGTACATACATGTATGCCATGTAAATATTAACTCTCCTCTATGTAGTATTCCCAAGTTAGTTACAGACAGTCATATGCATTAAGACCTACTGTCTTACAGAATGGTGGTGGTGGAAAGTAAATACAACAAAGGCAGTGAAATTTAAAAATACCAAAATGCTTTTGGTCCAAGTTCAAGGTGGCATCAAAATCATTTGAATCACTGTGACAAGAAATTATTTTCCTGTGCCCTGATTGTAGTAAGTACTATGTTCTGATGTTCCTATCTGGATTGTTATGTTGTGGTCCTTTTGCCAGCTTCAATGGTACCACTTCTATCACAATTGAACATCTGGCATCTGCCATAAAATCATTATGTAAATTACACATCTTAGCCTGTGGCATGTTGAACCACCACTGTATCAGTACCAAGTTGAGGGTATGATAACATCCACAGCAAGCTACTGGTTAAGTATTGACTGTCCTACATCCATTATCTACAGACTTGCAAGCTCTAGCTACCTTTACAATACAGTAATGTTAGCTGTTGACTCAGCAGATCAGACCAATAATGTAGAAGAGTAATACATCTGGCAACACTTCATGTTACTGTATGTGATTAACTTTGTTGCGAGTGTTCCTCAACTAGCAATCTTTGAGATAACAGCCTTTGTTTTACCTAGCTTTCAGTACAAGTAGGCTCTGTGGGAAAGGTATGTCCAGTGGAGAAAGAGCTACATCTATGTTGGTACATCATCAAGCTTGTTTTGCCTTACTGTTCAATTCTGTGTTAATGGAACAGTAATTCTAATGGGTAACCAACATCATTATATCAAATACTGGTAGGCAGTGTAAGGAAAGAGATATTTAACATTTTGAGGCCCATTAAGTAAGCTTAAGTGTACAAGACCCAACATAGGACCCACAAGTACGACTGATTAAGAATTGATCTTGAGACTCCTGCAGTACTAAAAACAAAGATTGAACTAGACTGCCACATCAATATGGATATTTAGCAATAAAAACAGTTACAAAGAAAACTCTCTAAGTATCATGTGATAATCTATCAATTTGCTATTGCTCTTCTGCCTGTCATTTTCCCTCCATCAATGCCTTCATATCAGTCATGGCTTGCTTGATGGCTGCTCCCATCTTTTCGGATTTGGTGGCTGTGCAGTGTTTCCTGGTGCATATGTGGAAGTTCACTGGTGGAACACAATACAAATTTGTCAGTTCTGCTGAGACTTTTGTTGTTTATGTATCAAATCTAATTAAATCCAAACTTTGAACCCTTGAAACAAAACAATATGATGGTCAAGAAAAAAGAGACAGAACTGAGATGGAATGAACAAATTATAGTGTGAGTAAATTAGATTCAGCACCAAGGACAGCACCATGTCCTGCAAAGTCACACTGAGCAAAACATATTTTACTGTGGCACTTAAACTGTGAACTCAAACAGTGTACCTTATCTGTGATTCTCTTACCTAGGTCCTCCCCAATAACCATATATGACACAGAGTAACCTTCCATGTGTGAAGGCCCAAATCCATATCCTACAGTGCAAGTCTGGAGCTTCCACTCCCGTGTGAACTTGGCAGGTGCCTGTGATGTCGACAGCTTGTCTGTCATAGTCCAGGCCTACAGCAGAAATGGTTGCATTACAGTAAGTCTTAACACATCATATTCACATTATAATAAATCCTACACATTAGGGGTGGCCCATGGCTTGACAAAACTTGGGACAAAATATTTGAAGTTACAAAATGTGGACACACACATACAACAGATTACTATAATAGTTCAGCAGTAGTATCCAGGTACCTTTGTGTTGAAGAACTGGGGCAGTGGATGGCCCAGGTCCTGTGCAGCTAGATAGAGACCAAGGAGATGTCTGTCAACACCTCTCCCGTTTACAGCAGCAACCTTGTAGTCAGTCTGGTACTGGATAGCCTTCTTCAGTAGAGACACCTTCTCCTCTGGGCTGACATCATCTCTGTCCATAGACTGTGAAAAAAATGTATACAGTACTGTACATCATCTTCAATAAACAGCTTTTTATGGAAGGAGCAGCAGTGCTAATTTTGAAAATGACATAGATGTGGAGTCCCTAATGTTGTAACAAGCAAATCTTTTGAGATGCAACTATTTCACTCTTACATTGACGTTAAGCATTTCAGTAAGGAAACCCTGACAGGGTCCAAATTGCATCTAACACATTGTTACATGGTTAAAGTACCTTAGACTACATGGACTGAATGGAAGCACACAAAATGGTTCTTACTTTGACCCACTTGACAGAGTGATCTGACACAGACCGGATGGTTTCTGTTCTTCCCAGGGCAAACATCCTACACCAAACATAGAGAGAGACATGGCTGTCACCTGATGCTTTTTCACACAATCAAGGTAACATTTTAAATTTTCAAAAAAGCAAAGGCAGATTGTGACAGACTTTTGTTATGGCACAGTACATGTAACCCAAGTTTTGTACCTGGTAGTTGCAGATTCATACGTCTTTGGTGTCTCCTCATGCAGCCGATAATAGGCCAGCTGCAAAGCCATCTGAAACAACAGCACTTGCCACTTCAGCTTCAGCCAATGAAATATTGCAGCTCTGTTCTATCTGTTCCAACAAGACTTACTTTTCAAAGCAAAATACAATTTATTTTGCAACGAATCCTACCTGCAAGAAACTATCCGGGCTAACTCTTTGTTGTTTTATCCAGCCTTTGCCATAGTCGGAGCCTACAACTACCAAGTCAATGTCCTGGATCTGTGACAGGAAAGAATCATTTTGTAAGTTTTTATCAACTAACAAAAGGAACATACAGTAACACTCAATGGGAAGGGGTAGAAGGTTTATATAATTGTCAACTTTCAAATCAATAAAACTTACAGTCTTTTGTATATGTGTCTTTGCTCCTTCTAATGCAGGTGCAAACCCATTGAGGTTCCACTGCAGTCTGAAAGGAATACAAATAGTCAGCATAACTTGAATGGTTAAAAAGCTTAATATGAAGGCTTCCTTGCTATCCTATAGCTATAATAAAAATCTGGAAAAAAGCTGACAATTTGTCCTTTTTTCTACTACACCTTAAACTTGGTTATAACTTGGTTTATTACTCATGCACTGCTTCTCTTCAACTTACTGTTTGGGTGGGGCAAGCTTCCTCCACCAGGCACACTGTTCAGGAGGCACCTCCCCATTCCTGTACTGCTCGTGGGAAAGTACATATTCCCAGGCTCGGGAGAATATCTGACAAGGCAAAGTTATTGGCTCCATTAATGTATAATGTATAAGAGACCATTATTTGTATCAAGTCTTGAACCAATTCTGAATTTTGTAATGGAAATAACAAGTTGTATCAAGGAATGTTACTCTTAGAGTGTACGTAAAGAAACAAACTGACCAGTGTAAAATGATAATTACTTTGACTAGACTCTTGCAACAAATGCTGTTACTCTTACAACAAACATGTATACTATGAATGTCTAAAAATCAAATATACCATGTCTATAGTGCAATGTCCAAGCAGATGTGGGGTTCAGAAAAATTGGCCAATCAAAATCTTTCCCCCAAAACTGCTTGGAGCTTAGGCCAAGAGAAGTTACATTTCACTGTTACTGTGTACATACAGTTGCATCCATAAATGAATGCTCCACCGTAGCTCCAGCTTTACCGTTGGGAAAGACCACAATTGTCATGGACTTGTCATACCACCTGGAACAGAGATGCAGATTAGTTTCATCAGAACAGACATTGAAAATACAGACATTCTTTGGGCATGGCAAATATCAGCATTAATAGATAAATTTGCTGCTTAAGACAAACTCACCACCATAACATACCTGTTGGTCCCATCCCCCATCATAACCAGTTTGGCTTGTTCACTAAGGTCCTTGAAAAATGAGAAATGTAATGAAGAAATGTTGCAGTAAAAACACAAAGTTGGTATAGAATGCATAGAGTACTAGTAGATAGGGTTGCCTTTTAACTAATTCAGTGCTACAAAACACCATTTGATGTGAGCTGCTTGCACATTATTCACAAAATTTCTAGTTTCTCTTGATAAGACTTTATCTCTTCATTACAAGACAACAACAACGCAGCAATGCGCAGCAATGTTTTACACCTACCTGAGGGGAAACTGTGTCCAAAGAGATGACAACAATTGCTGTCTCAATGACCTCCAAGGACTCTGCATTTACTTCTGACTCCACCATTACTTGACGTTGCTAACAAACATTGAAATGTTTCAAATACAAGTATAAGAAACCTGGGTACAAAGTACATAATGCATGGTCTTTTGAGAATATTTTTTGATTCCTATTAACAAAATTAAAGTACAGTTCTGTTTTACTATCTTAATTTTTCAGAACAAATAAAACACATGTTAAGTCAATATCTAAGTGACCATTCTGATCCTTATAATTTTCCAAATTACATTCCTGACAACCCTTGTCATCACCTACCTTTGCCCAGACTGTTCTGTGTTGAGATGTGATTGAGGCAAGACTGTTGGCCAAGCCATCGCTATCTGTAATCAATATAATAGAATAGAATAACGATATTAGCAATTTTTTTTAGTTTTCAGCTTACAACACTTATTACTTAAAACTACCTTCATTACATGCTAACCACAAAAAGATGCATATCTTTGTTCTGAACAACATTCAAACTTGTAACCATTATAATCTTCTGAAGATCATATCAATTAATGCTGTAACATAATGTTGATGCAAAGCAACCTGTGGTATGATAGCAAGTCACCAAACATAACTAGAAGAAATGAGAAACAAAAAGATATGCATTTGGTACTGTTGGTGACTGGTGCAAATATGTTCAGTTACCTTCTTGGTTGTATTTTTCACACTGAGACCAAATTCAAATGCATGCAGAGCACACAGCAACACCAAAGGCCTTTAACCTGGACAAAGTGAATAAAAGTTCAGAATGGGCAAACACAACAGAAATAAACATGAATGAATGGAGTGCTGTTAAGTGATGAACTAGCTGCACAAACGTTACACCAAAACACAACTAATTCTAGAACCAACTGCACACATGGAAAATTACAGTAGCACAACAGAGGGTTTGCTGATAAGGTTATCTTAAAACTTGTCTAAACAGACATGGTATTTGTCTCAAAATCTTTATTGCAAAAATATGAATGTTCAAGCAATATCTTGAGCATCTTGTCCTCGACTGTTGATATCCTTATTGCAAACCCTTTTCAGTGCGTCCAACTTTTTACTATGTTTATGGCAAAACCTTCAGCATCAGCTGTTTCACAGATGATCCTGAATTGTTCCTTGATCTCAGCTGGTGAAAGCTGTTGCAGGCTGCCATCGTCATGGGTGTAGACATCCATAGAGAAGTAACACCCTTTCCTGTAGGTAAAAAAGGGACATGTATCACATTGTTGTTAACAGCTTGTAATGTTCTCTTGTTAACATACAAGGGTAACTTCAGAAGGAAATAAAGAATTAACAAAAGACATGCATACCTCATTAAAACTTGAGAACAAGAATTGATAGCAGTGACTCTCTGTCTGTTCCTTATGGCGTAAAAGCATTGTGATAGTCTCTCACCTGATAACAACAATGTGCTTCGTATGGTGATGTGTTACTAAGCAGTCTTTCTCCACACAAGGGATACGGCAAGTTCCAAACAGGTATCTACAAAAGAAAGCAATCTTCAAGCATCATAATTACATGGACAAATTAAAACTGACAAACACCATACCAGGTAAACTAGGGATGAATACCTGAAAATTTAGAAATTCATAACTTTATAATCAGTCACACCATACCTGTAGCCGTCCATGCACATTGGAACTCTATTTTGAAAGAAAACACCCTGGAGCTGAAAAATTATTGGAAAGACATGTTTATACAATATTTTTGTGTTGATAAATTCAACCACCACTGGAAATTCAATACAATGAAAAAAAAGTAAAGGTATAAGGCAGTATACACACATGCATACATGTAATGTTACTTATTAGTATTAAATGTAAGAGCAGAATAATTACAAAGCTTCCCCTCTTTTTGACAATGTTCAAAAGGTAAAATGTTTTTAAATGAAATGCAGGCTATACCTTTTCACTGGACACCAACTCTCTAAATCTACAATAAAAAGAAGATGATATGTATTAGAAATGTTCATCCTGTAACTTTGGAAACCAAAATGACACCTTCCAGTGCATTTTCTAAATAAAAGGCACAGTTGTTTCTTGATGATACATGTACTACATTCTGATGTTGTACCAGTGGATGCCCCTTATTCAAAATGCGTGACAAGTCCAAAGTTTATATGTCATAAAATAACTTCAATATACTAAGGAATCGCAAATGATTAAATTTCAAATCTAAGGCTGATAAAAAACATTCCTTACTTTAACATGTTGTAGATGATGGTGGCTGCCCTTGAAAGTTGACAGGATGCTGGCAGTTCTAATCCATCAAGGAAGTAGTAATTAGAGTTCTCTAAAAGAAAAGAAAAGAAAGGAAAGGATATGAATTACTGCCAATGGCAAAGAATCTGAGCAAATTTAAAGTGTGATTTGAAATAGTATTTAAAAGTGATAGAATAACTGACAGAAAATCTTTCATATTGCAGTAGACTCCATAACTTCAATCCGGTGTTGTCATGTGATGTAATTTTTCTTACAAGATAAATATCATTGCTGGAAAAGACATCATGCATCTGTGACAGCCCACTCCCCACTTCAATACATCAAGAAGAAATAACAACAACCTGGTAAAGGCTCTCTTCTCTTCAGGTATATGTTGTCAATCCACCATTCTATTAACCAGCTCTTCTTTCTCCATGACCTAATTAGCATGACACAGATAAAAGATATTCAGAACATAAAAACATCAACATTGTCTGATCAGATGCTTCTTTCATGGGCAATTATTTCTACAGAAGTTAAAAAGATGAAATGTTTGGCATCAAGCTAAAATGTTTATTGGATATATCCTCTTGAATAATACATGAAAAAATCAATAAGATCACATCATACAGACATGACAAGTTGCTAAAAAAGCATTTTGATATTAGAGCATATATATGTATACAGACATGGCACATATTTTATGTATACAGGAAGGTAACAGGCTGAATATGAATCTTACTGTATATTTGCTTTTAATGTGCATTTAAGGCCAACACATGCACTTTCCATGGAACACAATAGATGTTATCAAGACTGGACGTGATGTAGAGTACCTTCTGATGAGATATTTCTGTAGAGGTTTTCCCTCCTTCTGCAGAAGTCGCAGGGCTTCCTCAGTCCTGTCATACTCTTCTGGTGAGAGCAACGGTCTGGCAACATCAAGGTACCTGGGCAGAAATAGAGACAGTTCATTTTTTTTATTAATCAAGTTTATTAGGACAAGTTTGCACTGAAAATCTAGAGACCAAACACAGTGATGTTAAAAGAGTGACAAGTGGATTGGAGACAGTCGGGAACAAGCAAAGGTAATGAGAGATGATATATACAACAGTGATGACACAGTGTCCCAAGAGACAGTGGTTGTCATAGTAACAGCCTATAAGAAGATGAAGCAGAGACAGACCACAGGATCGTGGCTGATTCAAGGATTAACAGTTTCATCAATGATCACTCACTCACTCATGATGGCGACCACAAAACATTTACTAGTGGGATGTCGATGAAATCTTACTTCGTGCAGGTTGTCTCAAGATCCGGCACTGGCAGTGATGGTATCACACTCTGGAACTCGAACAGTGAGTATGGTCCTTTCCCCATCACCTTATCAATCAGGTAAAGCCACACCTGTACAGATGAGAATGATGAGATGATGAGAACCTCAATTTCACACAGTCTTCATCCTTTTCAATGTCATACTTCTCTAGTCCTTAATTTTTGCAGAGAATAGAACGTAATTTTCTTTTTATTTTTGCATACTTTCCACGCACTCATTGGTTAAAAGTCCGCCCACGGTATTAGATAATTCTCATCTTGGAATTTAGACTACGTCAAGACTCTCGGACGATGCACTTGATCTGTTTTGTTTTGTTTACTAGTACCTTGGTGATTCTACTTCGTGGTGAGTACATCCATCCCCTGTACCCCAGGAGAACCTTCAGGGACAGGAACCTGCACCATGTCCGGAGATTCCAGCCGACACAGCCCACCACAAACCCACATACAGCGCCATTGCCGGGAGGGGAAATACTCCAGAGGGGCGGTAACGTCGCGAAGGTGCCGGGGAAGCTGCGAGCAACAACGATCCCTGTCGCCGCTCCTGCAGCTCCGATCATCACCGTGGAGACCAGGGGAGAGTCCATCACACTCTTGCTGACAGCAGACATCCTTCGATTTCTGTTCACGTTGTATTTACCTCCAGAACTTCCGACTGACCTACATCGACTGCGGTTTCACCATCTTGGTCACCTTCTCTTGTCATTGATCACATGGTCAAAATATTGCACGACAGCAGCAGAACATATAATGACATTTCCGTAATAGTGCAAAGTAATAACCTTTATCAACATAAAGAATACTAATCAATTATTACCGAATTGTTTTGTGTCTATATGTTTGATATTATAAGAAACAAATGTGATTTTAACTATAAAAAAATCGGTTTCATGGTTGTGGTTACGTGTATATGCGATCTGGCGGGAAGCAGACGAACTTTTGAATGCTACAAATCAGTGTTGCAATATCATATTGAATATGCCAAGGATCTTCATTCATTTTGTCCAGTCGACGGAAGCTGTGCGATCGGATTTGTAGGTCAGTCACAAACCGTTACAATTTTTCCACCAAAGATCTGCCAGGCGATGATGCACAGTGATGCGCTTGTGATTCTTGTCCTTGTCAACAGGTGGCGTTACTAGCGTTGTTCTAGTTCCAGGTCATCAGCGAGAAGCCACTGCTATTAAAGTCCACGCAGTTTGTTTTACGACGGGGAAAATACTATTTGATCACCATGGTGGTTTACCAATGACAAACAAATGTAAGACTAATTCACCATCGTACTAGATAGCAAATGTATCCATGATAACGTCGCTGCTAGGCTACGAAAAGTTGAGTTTGACTGTAACGTTATAAAATTAACGGTTTTAGTTTCTTAGTGTCTCTAATAGTCTCTAATGCATTGTTCCTTTTGAAGGAAGAAATAGGGCGACGAGGGTTATTCCAAGTCCAAAGTTTAGAAGTTGGAACAAAAACGATGGGTCAAACATCCTGGGGAGTCACCAGAGCAGTGGACCACGTCTTGACGAGGGAGGGAAGGTGCAAGACAGATCAGCCTCCGGTCCTCTGGGGAGTTCCCTGTGGTACATTTGCATATCTGTTGATGTGGACGAAATGTACACAACGCTTCCACACTTGTCATGCCATCACCCCAGGGCAACATGACAACGGTCACTGATTCCTGAGCATCTGCAACACCAACAGGATCATATGCATCGGTACGAACACTGTCTTCCCATTCTGTTTTCAAGTGGAGTATGAAGGGTTATATCATTGTCTAAGACTCCATGGACTCTGAAAGCCAGACTTGCATGTGTCTCGGTGGGCGACCGATCTTGCCCTGACCCCACACAAGTGATCTCCAGCTTTGTGTTATTTTGGGCCCAACATTTTTCACTAGGGGCCCGAGAGGAACAACACGCGTCTTTCTTGAATACAACGGACATTTTTTCCCACCCTAAAGGAATCTTAAGCTGAATTGTAAATATCCCGATTGTTGTGAGTAAGAGATGTGTGTCGGCCCCTTGAGCTGGTAAGTGCGGGTAAGATTGAAGAGAAGAGGTCCCTTGGGTTGATGTTTATCAATTAATGTTGATAATCAGGATAGTGTAGGTTGGTGCACGATGGCGGTATTGAGGCACAGCCCTCCCCACTTCCTGTCCCTTTCTATGCATTTTCACGGTGGAGTCTGATTTCTGTTCAACCATCAGCATCCTTGAACTCTCACGTCCCTGACCTGGTGACATGTATCATCGTATGTAACTTGGTGGATGCATGGATTCAATATCCATAACGTTACATGCTTGTTGATTTATGACAATGAGGTATTAATTTTAGTTTCTGTTATCATATCATCTCACACAGCATGCCACCCTGTGCATGTTCTAATTGTGAAACTGTGAGCCAAGGA